CTACATCTCTGCTTTATTGACCTGGTCAAGGCCTATGATACCATTCTTCTTTGGTTCTTTCGGTAAAGTCACGTATAAAGACAAAATAATAAATTAAATAATAGCATACGACGTTTCGATTGCAACACAAGCAATCATCATCAGGTATAAATGAAATAGCAACAAAAAATATAACCAGAAAACTATAGACAGAAGGCGATCCAGAGTCGACCAGGCTAAGCGTTAATTGTGTGTTGACCGACTCTCTGTGTTGTATTACATATCATTTCGATATTTTGCTAGGTTATTTAATTTAGTGTGTTCTTTCTCCCTCTCTCCTAAAGTTCAAGCCTGCGTACTTTACTACACGTCTCTTCGTACTCATTGACATGTAAAAAAAATTCTCTAACCCCTCCCTCTTTCCGCCCTCCTCGGTCTATTTAAGGCCTCGCCACAGAGACGATCTCCCTCTCTGTGCCTATGTGTTACTCTCTCTCTATGTATCTTGGTGATATCTGTCTGCTTATATGTCTGTCTATAGTTTTCTGGTTAGATTTTTTGTTGCTATTTCATTTATACCTGATGATGATTGCTTGTGTTGCAATCAAAACGTCGTATGCTATTATTTAATTTATTATTTTATCTTTATACGTGACTTTACCGAAAGAACCAAAGAATAATTCCTGCAGTCACGCAAGCTCCAAAATTAAGATTGAACCGCCTATGATACCATCAGTAGGCTCTCGGTTGTTCTTCGTGCTTTCGGAGTCCCTGACCCTCTGCTCATGATCATTAAGGACCTTCATGATGGTGAGCGGGCCCGGGAAAACTACGTGGCCGGGAGTCAGAGCCATTTCTTGTACACCTTGGGATGCGACAGGGATGTCCTCTTACTCCCACATTATTTAACATCTATTTTGACCACGTACTTCGTGAAGCCTTCAATAGCTGTACCGGAGGAATTTCCATCTGGTCCAGATATAATGGGAGGCTGATCGATGCCCGGGTGCAGTCAAGGGATGACTCCCTATTACTCAACCATGTTACGTATGCCAATGATCTGGTGAATGCTGCTCACTCAGAGGAGGAGTTGGAGACGCTGCTGCTGAAACTGGAACTTGCCACCGGGAGTTGGGGCCTTACCATCAGCCCCACCAAAACTAAGCACCTGCCTGGGTATTTTGTACCATGATGGGGCAGTTGTGGAGAGAGTGTAGAGTTTCCTATACCTGGGCAGTGTGCTCATGACCGGCTCCGGTTTAACAGCAGAGGTCTCACTCCGAATCAGTCAAGCGGCATTATCTTTTCATTGGTTGCGTAACGCTGTGTGGGAGCTAATTTCAATTCAGTTCATGTATTAGGTATAGCCCTGTGAGCCATTCGGCTCTTGAATCGGGTGCAACCGCAACAAACAAAAACATGAACAAGAAACATTTTAAAGTGATTACGTGCAACAGAAAAATCCAGGAAAAAACAGCAAAGTCTTCCAGATAAAGCACCGCATATCTACGCTGTGTGCAAGAATCCCAGTGGGATGCAAGTCAAACAATAACAACCTTAAGACAATTTCGATTATCAGTCTAACTCTGTACTACAACAAACAAATATGGCTAAACCAGAACCTTGTCGAAATCACCAAAATAAAGCTACAAAAACAATGTAACAACAGTAATCATAGGAACTGTGATTCCAATTTAACAATAAACGATATACATAACATGTACGACCAGACTTTGCAACAATAGCTGGCTGCATGAGTCACTGCATAACAGCCGGAGTATCAGTAGGAATATCAAACATTTTCAATGTATCTTTAAAGATTAGCACACTATAATCAAAACACAAGATGTTACTTTGCAGCGGTCATCCGGAGCGATACATTTGATTTCAGGCCACTGAATAGCAGTGGCAGCTAGAGTGGACAACTGCTCTAGAGCATCTTCTTGGTTCTTTCGGTAAAGTCACGTAGAAAGAAATTAATAAAATAATAAAAATAAAACAATAATAATTTAATTCTCACGAAGTTTCGGCCACAACGCAAGTATCCGTCTTCAGGTGAAGAACAGGTCTGTCAAGGAGACAGAATTATTTTATTATGTTTTATTTTTATTATTTTATTAATTTATTTCTATGTGACTTTACCGAAAGAACCAAGAAGATGAATCACTGCAGTCACGAAAGCTTTAAATCGAAATCCTCTAGAGCAGTTTTGAGTGAAGATCTCATAGGTAGCGATTCAAGTTGCAGTTTATTGGCAATAGCATTCCAGACCCTGGGGGCTTTAATAGCAAAGGCCCTTACTCCAGTATTTGTACGGCAATAGGGAATGTAAAGCTGGTAAATGAGCGAAGACCTTAGGTCAAATTTGTTCTTTGAAACAGAGAGGAGATCCAGCAGGTAGTCTGCGGATTTTTTTGTCGTCATACGCATCATGAGATGCGGCGTCTTTTCATAGACAAGCAGTACATTGCACACCATTTGGTGGCAAAAACGTCGTCTTCCTCATGCTCACATTTCCCTCATGATGCATATTACGACCAACGAAGGTGGCGTCTCTCGCTCCGCACGAAGCTTCAGGTCTTCTCGGCCACAGTCATTCCCTCCCTTCTCTATGCTTGCGAAACGTGGACCCCCCTGATGGAGCATCTTCGCCAGTTGGAAACATTTTGGCTGGCCGACCTACGATCCATCCTGGGTTTAACCAGGCTGGATTGTGTGAGGAGCTCACAAATCCTTGAAAGATCTGGACGAGGCCCCATCGTTGAGCTACTCCGGCAGGCAAGGCTGCGTTGGCTGGGCCATGTAGACCGCCTGCCCAGCCACCGCATGCCTTTAACAGCTTTTGTTCGGCCGGATCGAGGGGGCTCAACGGGCGCGGCGCGGGCCCGAGAAGAGATGGAGTGCTGTGGTACAGGAGGACGTGGAGCTGAGTGGACTTGCCAATGACTGGAACCAGCGGTGTCAAGATCGGCCTCAGTGGAGGAGGCTCGTGAAGGACGCTACTGGGCAGTTGGAGGCAGTCGCCCTCCAACAACAACGGAGGGCGGAGGAGTGACGCTCACAACAACAAGCGGAGCGCCGGGTGGCTAAAGCACAGCAAGTTGGCACAGTAGGGGGCACAGGTGGTGCATCAGCCAGTCGTCTCAGTCGACCTGTGGCATCTGGGTCTGCCCCGTGACCTCCTGCCAGCGGGCGTTCGACACTTCACGTGGTAGCCTCAAGGTGCACACGGCCTGGCACAAGTGTCGTGCTGACGTCACCGCCACTTAGTGGCGAATGGCGGTTGTTGTTGATAGTGATGATGATGTTGGTGATGGTGACGATGGTGATGGTGACGATGGTGCTGATGGTGAATCGCAGGGATGAGGAGGCGTGGTGACGTGAGCGCGCACTGCAGGCAAAGGAGCGGACACACGAACCTGCGATTTGTTCTGCACCGGCGATACCTCTCATGTCCGCCAACCTGAACCTCACCCTCCCTCCTCACCCTACCCCTCCATGCTCACCTCTCCCTTCCCTCAATTTCCACCTCACCCTCCCCTCACCCTCACCTAACCTCACCCTCCGTTCCACCTTCCCCTCACTTCACCCTCTCCTCACCATCCCGCTTCTCCACCGTTGATTGGGTTACATGTTATACTAATAGGGTTTTCCCCTTTTTTCTGGCAACAAAACTGACACCTTTTACAAGGAATACCGCTTACATTAACCACAATACTTGCAGTCAAATGCAAAAACAAAACAATACTCTGATAATTTATGCATTGTCTTTGAAACTGATTGGTCCACACCAGAGACAGCTTTCTTTGGAGCCTAGTCTCATATGGTGTTCGGCACCATATGAGGCTAGGTGTTCGACACCATATGAGACCGCTCCCCCCATGCACAAATGCACAGCCATTCACAGGCACACACTCCATCTCAACATCACAATTACCTCTGACTCGTAATGCTGATTATTTACCCAAGAACACCACACTGAGTCTCACGGTTCTGTTCAGTAGGGTCCAGGAATGGGATGTGAACAAAGACAGAGATCCCCTGTGTAGCCTTCACAGACTATTGGGACAAGTGCTGTCCGTGTTTCTCTATGAAGATTGGCATGGCACACGAGGTGGGTGGCCAGCACCGCGCCCGACCAACTTTGTCTCCCTAGTGGCAATTTGGTTTACACACCGCATCAGGTTCCAGGATGTAAACAGAGAAATATCCCCTGTGTAGCCATTACAGACTGTGGGGGCAAATCAGCACCGTTGAAGTTTGACATGACACACGAGGGGTGCGTGGCCAGCACTACGCCTGGCCGCCTTTGTCTCCCTAGTGGTGATGTTTATAAAAATCCAGGTAATTATTTGAGGCTAAGTCGAACTCGTGCACACACACGGGGATCATTTATTGTCAAGATGGCCCCATCACCCATGATTCACACTGAAGAACTCACACAGGAGTTTGACTGCAGTTGTCTCCAGAACTTTAAGTGAGGCAATGTCCTCTTGGCTGGGAGCTGAGGATGGAGCTGCTGTAACCCTCCCTGCCCTGTGAAAGCAGAACAGACATGGCTACTGTTTCACACAGAGCATCGTCACTCACAGGATCATCACAGCTCCATCACATAGACACTCATCACAGCATCACCAGGCGTGGGATCATCACAGCTCCATCACACAGGCACTCATCAAACAAAGCATCATCACTCATCTCACAATTACAGCATCACCACACAGAATTACTATTGCCACACACATCATCACCACACACGGTATCAATACACAGCATCATCACACATAGCATAATCACACACGGTATTACCACACAGCATTACCACACACAGCATCATCACACAGCTTCACCAGACACTACCTCATCGCACAGCTTCACCACACAGCCTCATCACAGCATCACCACGCAGCTTCACAACACAAAGCTTCATCACACAGCATCACCACACAGCATCACCACACACAGCTTCACACACAGCATCACAACACACAGCATAACCACATAGCACACAGCATCATTACAGCACCATCACACAGCATCCCCACACAGAGCCAATGCCTCACTGTCCACACCCCAAACTCAGTCCCATGTTGTCGTGTGTCGAGTCGTGAGTGATAGTCGTCTTTTACCTGCACGTCTCCTCCAGGTGCCCCTGTGGGAGAAGGAGATGCGTTACTGTGACAATACCTCCAATCCCTTGTGATCAATGGAGTTCCCACTGCAACACTGTGGGTGGAATATAAACCCAAAGTCTTAAATTATGACCCCATAATCACCAACACTGACTTACGGGGCAAATATTTCAGAGTGAGACCGATTGATAGTCAACTATAAACTATTTGAATTTTTCCACGTAAGGCCCACTGAGTGATAGAGCTCTTTTTCAGAAGCGACCTGGCCACAAATGATAGCTCAACGAAGTGGTTCATCACGTGGGAATTTATAGCAGCTCAATATTCTAAACGCACGTTTCTAAATGTGGAGTGAAAAACTGGAGGACCCGGAGAAAAATCGATGCGACCATGGAAAGAGGCATAAAAACTCCAAATGTATAAGGACGTCAGGGTATTGATCCAATCCCCGACCTTCGGTATACCAGGCGAGGTAGTTAACATCTCACCAACCCCATGAGGACCAACACTGATTTGCAGGGCAACTATTTCAGAGTGAGACCAGTTGATATTAATCAGTGTTGAGATTAATTTATGTCGTTAATGCACACGTGGCAGGTCTTACAGAAGTGGTGGTGAATACACAATAATGTCATTAATACGCGTATGAAACCTCGTATTTAATTTAGCTTCCATTGACTCATGAGCAGGCACTGGTTGATTGTTGCATCGCAGCATCATGAGATGTGGCAATAGCTTGGGGAGGCCTTCATCCATCAGTTAATAGATCACGGCTGATGATAATCATGATTACCGTGTACATAGTTATTGCTGTTGTTGTAGGGTTTATTTAAAAAGTGTAATTTCAATAACATTTAGTTGATATCACAATGAAGCACACTTAATGGGAATCTGTTAAAGAATATGAGAGGGAATTCATTTAACTGAGAAAATATGAGCTGGGCTTCCAAATGGCAGTCACTGGAGCTGTGATGCGAATCCATGAGTGGAGCTGTGTTCTCAAGCCCAGTGGATGCGAGCTCTCATTCAGGAGCCTCCCTCTGCTGCTGCTGGTGAGAGGGCTCTGTGCCAATAGTGACACTGGAGACTCATCGCTCACCTGCAGGAACGTGAGCGAGTCCCTCTCCTGTGCTAGGGCCTGCAGGCGAGTGGCTGCTGTCTGGAGCTCGCTGATCTCGCGCTGGTAGTGAGCGATCTTCTTCTCGATCTGGGACAGCAGCTCGCGCCCTTTCTGCTCCGCTTGCTCTAAAGCCGCCTTCTCCTCCGCATCCAACGCTGCTCTCGCGTGGGTGAATCTGACCGAGATTGAGGCCTTTTCATCTGTCATGGATCCCTGCAAAGAGAAACAAAGCCACCTCTGTTCATTGAATGTCTGGTCCTTTGTGAAATGACATTCAGGTCGGTGACCCGAGTGCAACTATGAAGGTGTCCAGGCAGTGATACGAGTCTGAAGCACTGAGGCCTCCTTCTTCCTCTGCCTCTGATAACGCCACTGTACATTTTCACTACAACACGACTCACCATAACTGGCGAGGGCTGTGAAGCAATGAAATCATCAAATACCATCATGAGTACATTTAGCATCTGTGCCATTCTCATTGCACGAGGTTTTCAGGACTATGCTTTGTTACCTTCGCACGAAGCGAAGGGAAATCTGTAAAGAGCTTTAATGAAATGGAAAGTTAGGCCAATTCCTCCTTAAATGAATGTTTTGAATGTGAGGAAAACTACATGTATGGATGAAGAGAGCGGATCATGAAACTACTTGCTATACTGCCACCTGGCCACCCCAAAGCTTGAGTTATTTTAGTAAGATGGTGTACAACAGCCTGTGTGTGATCACCAACTCTGCCACCAGAGCATTGGATAAGAGGTACGTACCACCTCATCTGACCAATATAGTTAACAGTCGTTGAAGTGGTAAGTTGTATGGAGATATGGGAATGTGGAAATTCCACCACTGATTCAGTTTCTCAGTGGAGATGAGAAACACCTCTTTGATCGTCCTGATTATTGAGGCGCATTAACCGTTGTTTCTTTAGTCCCACAATGTGTTTAGAGCCAATGGAAGTCCACGTGAATGAATGAAGTTGTTCTCCATCATAAACTCTTCTCAGGGTGGAGTCACGGGGTCACAGAGTCTGGCCCAGACACGGTACCTGCACGTCCCTGTGAGCGGCCTCCATCCGCTTTATGGACTCCTCCGCCTCCTTCCTCTTCTCCTCCACCGCCCGCGTCTCCTCTCCCACTTGTTTCTGTGAGAGACGTCACCAGGGGAGACTCTACTAACTCTCTGAGCGTCCCCTCTTACGTGAACCCCTCCACAGTGACGGGGGCAGTAGCCCCGGTGCAGCAATGGAGGCTGGGGCAGCAAGCGCTGCAGGGAACAGATTTCACGAGGAGCTCAAACATGCGCAGGGCTACCTAGGTTGTGGGTGAAGCTACCTAAGTAGTGGGTGGGGCTACCTGAGCAATGGGCAGAGCTACCTGAGTAGTGGGTGGGGCTACCTGCGTAGTGGGTGGGGCTACCTGAGTAGTGGGTGGGGCTACCTGAGTAGTGGGTGGGGCTACCTGAGTAGTGGGTGGGGCTACCTGAGCAGTGGGTGGAGCTCCCTAAGTATTAGGTGTGGCTACTGGAGCTATCTGGGCAGTGGGCGGGGCTACCTGAGCAGTGGGTGGAGCTGCCTCAGCAGTGGGCAGGGCTACTGGAGTAGTGGGCAGGGCTACCTGAGTAATGAGCGGTTATCAGAGTGGTGGGTGGGGCTACGTGAGTAGTGGGCGGGCCTATCCGAGTTGTGAACGGGGCTATCTGAGTAGAGGGTGGACAGGGCACCATAGTGGTGAGATGTTATCTGCCTTGCCTACTAAACAGGAGGTCGTGGGTTCGAACCGGACCCTGATGCCTGTGTAGAGTAGTAGAACGACACTACTGTATTGGCTCGGTATGGGGGCTGTCGGCAGTTGTCACGGAGGTCGTGTCGGGCCGTGACACTATGTGTGAACCCAACAGGACACGTGACCGGATAAAAGCGGGCCAGGGGCCCCAGGGGGGGGCGTGGCCTGGGGCAGAGCCGGCCATGCCGGAGTGGTTATAAGCGGGGTGTGGATGGAGAGCTGTGCTGTTCTGGGCTGTTCTGGACTGTTTTGTGATGTTCTTCTGGGTCATCTCTGGGATGAAGCTCTCCGGTCTCCGCTAGTGGACCAGGCAGCGTGTTGGGCTGTCCTGGTCCAGTGATGTAGTATCCCCATGGGTTGGTTAATTTAGGTAAGGTGGCTACCACCTTAAGTCGTTGTGTTAAGTGTTAATTGTTATGTTACCTAATAAATAGTGTTGTCTCCAAAGTTCCAGTGTGCACCTGAATTTAACCCACTACACCTGTATACAGTCGACCCTTCCACATCGCGGGATTTTGGGGCGCAGGCCCCCCGTGATCTGAAAAAAACGCTTAAAATGTGTTGGTTTCCTTGGTCCCCTTGGCGAGCGAAGCGGTACATAAAGATACGAGAAACGCGAGATACAAAGATCACTGCGAGATCACTGCGAGATATCACGTGAGAGGCTGCGGTAAACACGCTTGGTGTCCTCCAAACGAGCGCATAGAACCGCAGTTCTTTTCGCAAACTAACTTTTTAAAAAATGTAACTTGAAAAAATTGTGTATATTTATGGTCTGTGTGTCCCGCGCGTGACATCACTCCAAATGAGGCCAACCCCCTCATTCATATTCATGAACAGGTGGGGTCCTCCACATGGACTCCCCCCACCTCATTAATAACCATGAGAGGGTGACGTCAATCCATATACCGCATTCCTCCCCAATAACCATTAGCGGGTTACATCACTCCACATTAATCATGAGTTGAACATTTTTTCTTTTGAATATTTCAGATTTACTGCAATATACACCCGTCATTGGACGGACAAACAAGCTAGCTAAAATATAAAATACATTAATATTATACAATACTGTACATATAATTTATGCATTTGAGTTACTAAACTTTTTGTGTGTCATGTACTGGCTTTCGCGTGTCGCCTGCGGCTTTCGCAAAACTCCCAGAAACTCCCAAAAAATGCCCATTTCATTTCTTATGCCGACCCCGCGATATATCGAAACCGTAATGGGGAAAGTCACGATGCAGAAGGGTCGACTGTACTATGAATCTACCCTTCAAAAACTCGTTTGAAAAATAAATTGACGGGCATGCAAAATATTAAATCCACTTTAAAATGAGTCTGAGCCACTCACTGTGGTTTCGTTATTAGATGTTGCTTTTGAGATCCAATGACAGAGTTCATCAGCTACGTGGTGACCGTGAGAACCTCCTCCTCACCTTTCGTTTGTCGTGCTCCACCTTAAGAGTGACGAGTTCGTGCCCTCGATGATCCACAGTGACGGTGCAGTCCCTGCAGACGAGGCGTCCGTCGTTAACGCAGTAGAAGCGGTACTCGTCTCCGTGCTCCGCGCACCGTCGATTCTCCAGATTCACACCGGGCGACACAAGGACGTGGTCACTAAACTTTGCCAACTGCCGGTGGGGCGCGACGTGGGTCATACAGAACGACGTCTCACACTTGAGGCAAGTCTTCACTGCGGGCCTCCTGCAATGATCGCAGCAAACAGCCGAAGCAGCAGAATCGGCAGCCACGGGCTCAGCCACTCGCAGCTGCTCGATGAGGTTGGTGAGCGTCACGCTCTTGTTCAGTTTGGGCCTCCGAGGGAAGGTCACTCGGCACTGTGGGCAGGAGAAGGACTCTGCCGCATCCCAGGCGTCCTCCACGCACTTGAGGCAGAACGAGTGGCCGCAGCTGAGCGTGCAGGGGCAGCGGAAGGCGTCCAGGCAGATGGGGCAGGTCAACTCCCCTGGACCCTCGCTACCACTGGGAGCCGCACTCGCCATGCCCTGTGGCTCCACTCAGAGACGAGTACTGGCTGTAGCTCAGGCAGTCGCTGGCTGCAGCTCAGAAAGTCGCGGGCTGGAGCTCAGGCAGTCTCTGGCTGTAACTTTAGACAATTGCTGACTGTAGCTCAGGCAGTCTCTGGCTGTAGCTCAGGCAGTCGCTGGCTGTAGCTTCAGATAGTATCTGGCTGGAGCTCAGGCAGTCTCTGGCTGTACCTCAGGCAGCCACTGGCTGTAGCTTCAGATAGTATCTGGCTGGAGCTCAGGCAGTCTCTGGCTGTAGCTCAGGCAGTCTCTGGCTGTAGCTCAGACAGTCTCTGGCTGTAGCTCAGGCAGTCACTGTCTGTAGATCAGACAGTCTCTGGCTGTAGCTCAGGCAGTCTCTGTCTGTAACTCAGGCAGTATCTGACTAACTCTGGCAGTCGCTGGCTGTAGCTCAGGCAGTCTCTGACTAACTCAGTTAGTCTCTGGTTGTATCTCAGGCAGTCTCTGACTAACTCAGGCAGTCTCTGTAGCTCAGGCAGTCGCTGTCTGTTTCTGAGGCTGTCGCTGGCTGCGTCTGAGACGCTAAACGAGGAACAAGCCACGTAAATGGGCAACAAGGAAGCAGGAAGTCTTTCAGTTTGAGTTGCGTATTACGAGGCACGCCCTGGAATGTGTTGACGTGTGAGCGAGTACAGACGTCTCCGCTCCAGGGGTGGCTTAAAAAAGAAGACTCGGATCACCTCGTCTCAAATACTCATCCTCACCTCTACTCCCCCTCACCTCTACTCACCCCATCGTAACTCACCTCACCTCAACTCACCTCATCTCACCTCAACTCACCTCACCTCAACTCACCTAAACTCACTTCAACTCACCTCATCTCAACTGAACTGGCAGGAGAACTTTGCTAGTAAACTCGTTGCTCCCTGCCGCTCTACTCCACGAGATTGTTGTTGTTTCCAGAATCAAAATCAAAGGGTTTTATTCGCCATGAAAGTTCGCACAGACAAGGAATTAACTTTGGCAGGAAGGTGCATACATTCAACATATAGGAATCTTAAATCTTAAATAAGTGGTGTACAAGTCTAACTATACTAAAGGTACAACGTCTAACTAATACTAAGGGGATAAAGTATGTAAAAATTTAGAATAAAATAAGATTTTTAAATAGCTATACTACACAATATAAAAATACAAATAGGGTAACATAGTGCAAATATGGCAAGGTGTCATTGTGCAGATAAAGTGTTAAAGTCAGTGTGAGCCCTTGGCCTTGTTGAAGAGGCCAGCAGTGGATGGGAAGAAACTGTTTTTGTGGCGTGAGGTTTTCGTCCTGATGGACCGCAGCCTTCTGCTGGAGGGGAGTAGCTGGAACAGAGAGTGCCCAGGGTGGGAGGAGTCGGCCACAATCTTCTTCGCTCGCCTCAGGGTCCTCGAGGTGTGCAGGTCCTCGAGGGTAGGCAGATTGCAGCCAATCACCTTCTCAGCAGTGCGGATGATACGCTGCAGTCTGCTCTTGTCATTGTCAGTGGCAGCAGCGTACCAGATGGTGATGGAGAAGGTGAGGATGGACTCAATGATGGCTGTGTAGAAGTGCACCATCATTGTCTTTGGCAGGTCGAATTTCTTCAGCTGCCGTAGGAAATATATCCTCTGTTGTGCTCTCTTTATGAGGGAGCTGATGTTCAGTTCCCACTTAAGGTCCTGGGAGAGGATAGTGCCCAGGAAGCGGAAGGACTCCACAGTGTTGACTGGGGAGTCGTACAGGGTGATGGGGGTGAGAGGGGGCTGTATTCTTCCTGAAGTCCACAGCCATCTCCACTGTCTTAAGAGCATTACGCTCTAAGTTGTTCTGGCTACACCAGGTCACCAGGTTGTCAGCTTCCCACCTATAGTCAGACTCATCCCCACCAGAGATGAGCCCAATGAGGGTGGTGTCGTCCGCAAACTTCAAGAGTTTGACGGACGGATGACTGGAGGTGCAGCTGTTGGTGTACAGGGAGAAGAGCAGAGGGGAAATGACGTAGCCTTGAGGAGATCCGGTGCTGATGGACCGGGAGTCAGAGACTTGTGTTCCCAGCCTAACGCACTGCTTCCTGTCAGACAGGAAGTCTGTGATCCATCTGCAGGTGGAGTCGGGCACGTTCAGCTGGGAGAGCTTGTCCTGAAGCAGGGCAGGGATGATGGTGTTGAAAGCAGAGCTGAAGTCCACAAACAGAATCCTGGCATAGGATGCTGGGGAGTCCAGGTGCTGTAGGGTGATGTGGAGGGCCATGTTAACTGCGTCGTCCACAGCCCTGTTGGCTCTGTAGGCAAACTGCAGGGGGTCCAGGAGAGGGTCTGTGATAGCTTTGAGATGTGCCAGCACCAGGCGCTCAAAATACTTCATTACCACAGAGGTTAGGGCGATGGGTCTATAATCATTAAGTTGTTGGCCTTAGCTTTTTGGGTACAGGGATGATAGTGGAGGACTTGAGACAGGCTGGTACATGGCATGTCTCCAGTGAGGTGTTGAAGATGCTGGTGAACACTGGAGACAGCTGGTCAGCGCAGTGCTTGAGGGTCGCTGGAGAGACAGAGTCTGGCCCAGCTGCTTTGTGGGGGTTCTGCCTCTTGAAAAGTCTGTTAACCTCTCCCTCCTGAATTGAGAGAGTCATCTCTGTAGTGGGGGGGAGAGGGGATGCCTCTTGGGTGGGAAGGGGTAGTTCAGGACAGTCCAATTGTCTTTCAAATCTGCAGTAGAACTCGTTCAGGTTTTTGGCCAGACGGGAGTTGTTAGTGGTGTGGGGGGCTCTGGGCTTGGTAGCGGAGTTCAAAATCCAGTATATCCTGGTGGAAGCGCTCGCCTTAATCCTCCGAGTACACTCCCATGTTCTCCTTGAATTTATCAAGATGGGCATAAAGGATATGGGCTTTGAGGGACATCCTACAGCCCATTGTGCCGTAGTTCTTCACCAGCCTCAACCAGCTCCACATAGTTTTTGACCTTGTGTTTGCCCAGAAAGACAAAAAATCAGTGCAACAAAGCTGTTCCAAGCCGCTTCCTCCTTACTAGTGAGCTTCTTGGGGGATTCATTGCACTCCAGGATATTCTTTATCTGTGATCCGATGAAGACACCGGCTTTGACCTTTGCCTCAGACAGCTTAGTGAAGAAGTCTTGAAGGTACTTGAAGGCTGCCGACTCTTTATCTCCAACTCTGAAAAATTGTTTCATAAGGCCCAATTTTATGTGCAGCATTGGCATCAGCACCTTCCGGGGGTCCACCAATGGCTCCCACTTGACGTTGTTCCTCCCCACAGAGAACTCGATCCGCTGTGGCCAATCCCACCTGTGTAAGTGCGCATTGGTTGTCCCTGCCGTCCCAAAGGCAAATATAGCAGGGAAACTTGGTAAAACCTCCTTGGAGACCCATCAGGAATGCCATCATTTTGAAGTCTCCGATGACCTCCCAGCCGTACTCATCAGACTACAAGTCGTCCAGCAAGGTATTGATGCTGTTGTAATCCTCTTTGAGGTGCACCGAGTGAGCCAGGGGAAGAGACGTGTACTTGTTACCATTAGGGAGCAGCACAGCTTTGAGGCTCCTGGATGAGCTGTCAATGAAGAGGCGCCACTCATTCTGGTTACAGGCGATTCTGATTGCCACGAACAGACTGGTCACATTGTGGCAGAAGAAGAGCCCATCTTGACGGGTGAAGAAGCTGCAAAAAGGTTGGTGATGCTTCCTCTGATCTGCGACTTGCACACTTTCATCCAAAAAGTTCCACTGCTTGAGCCTAGACGTCAAAAGCTCGGCATTGGACTTGGTGAGACCAAGATCTCTAATCAAGTCGTTGAGGTCTTTTTGGTTGGGGTAGTATGGTTTCTCTCCTCAGCTCCACCTCTGAAATTGTCATCTGGATCTACATCTTCCTTGCTCTGACTTGCTGCTCTCTTCTAAAGACGGCTGCTCTCTCTCTGGAGTGGGTACGGGGAGCTCATGGCAGTGTGTTACCGGGGTGATGGATGAAGGAAGGTCCTGATACGTGATAGCAGGTGCATTATTGCCAGTCCGACGTTTGGAAGGGTCCACCTTGCAAAAGTAGCAGTTGCTTGAGTGGTCACTGAGTTCCTGCCAAATTATTGGGATAGCGAACTTCATGGCTCTCTCTTCCCCTCTGTACCATCCTTCAAAAATAAATTTCACCCATGACTAATGTGTAAGAGAGTCTGACATTTTTCATGTTTATTTTTTTCAACATTGAAAATTGTAAAACATTTTCAAACTAAAAACTTAATTTAAAAAAATTGGAACAAATTTTATAATATAAAATTCTCATCAACAATTGTACATGTTACCTTCCTGAGTTTTATTACATTGCTTGAAGGTGAAATGAGGTGCCGAAGGTTTGTCTTGATCCCCGACAGGAATGCCGAAATATGCCTTGTAGGTCTCACACATTTTAGCAGATCCTTCCAGAGTACTTTTCGCTCGTCTTGATAAATTGGCCACAGACATAGCAAAATGTGACTGCCGGATGCTTGCAGCCTCTTGATGCCATCTCAGAAAAATGCAGATATGTATCCACTTAGGCAGCTGGAACTAAACTGAACTGGTGGGCTTAAGGCCCCTGTATTTATACTACTATTTATATTACTGGAAAGTTATATAATGTTCTAGAAGTTACTCCTAATTTACTCAGCACTTAATCTATCTTGTGGGGAATAGCCAATTCTGTACTTTTGAGGCATAAGCAATGAGTGTAATTCAGGCGTGTTAAGAAAAAGTCATGAACTAATGATGACAGGTCTGCGGCAAAGAGGAGCGGGCACAACCCTCCGAGTGTTTGTAGGTGGTAGATATCTGCTCTGAACGTAGCTATGAGTTGTGAGCGCATGGTCAAGCTCTGATCGCTGCAGTCAGTTTTGCTCTGTTCAAACAGCGACTTCAGACAAGCATTCTCAAATAACAGAGATGGCGGCATCTTGATCTGACAGACATTGAAAACTAATTTCTTTAGAACTGATTTTTGTGTTTGGTTTGTTGTCCTCACCCCGCACCTCTGATTAGCACGGTTGGCTATGTACGGTGCGAAAGAAGTTCATCATACATATATAGAATCTGAATCAGCATCTTTATTTCAACTGGAGGAATCTAATGAGTTATGAAGCTCTTTTTCGAGATGTGCAGTAGGGGCAGGACAGAAAGTTACAATAACAAACAGTACAAATAACCGATAGGGGTGTAAAATATAGCAAAGGTGTGCAAATCACTGAAACTAGATAAAGACTAATTAAACAAAGTATATAACTACAAATTGCAACCGATTTTTTCAACACGTACATTTATTTAATGAAGATTCATGATGTTAAGGGAGGAAACAAGGTTGTTCCAAAACGTTGGTGTTGCAACAGCAAAGGCCTTGTCACCCATTCCAATTCTCGTTGTTGGGATAGTTCACAGGCAATTAGATGTGCGTCTTAGGTTTCTTTGGCTTGACAGTGGGGTTTATGATTTAGCTAATTAAAGCACAGATTTGCAAATAAGGGTTTTTATGGATGAACAGGGCCCAATGTAGATTTTGTTTTGCATCAAGTGATGTGA